TTTTTTTTTTCTTGTTTGCTCAGCATTTTGCTGTTTTTAATAATTAATTGAAGACACTGTTTGTACTCTGCTTGCTCACGTTTAGGAAAACAGTGAATGGTAATGATAGATATACATTGCTTTATTATATGTTGTGGGGAGTGGTCTATAATCTCTTAAGTTCATCATAATTACTAATTGAATCGTTAGAAGTTTTGGGCTGTCAGAATAGTAGCTGTATAAAAATATTAAGAATAAAATTCAGAATATGCTCATATTGTGATCCAATATGTAGCACCTGTGTACTCAAATGCAATACATAAGCTATTGGAGTTTTAGGTTCTCACGGAGTGGGAAATATAAAATTATAAATATATAAAAAGAAATATAAAATTACTGTATACTGGAGACCAGATCTTAGATAGTTATTCAGGTGAAGGAGATTCTTGCAAATGACAAAAGCTAAGTATTAAAAGTCTTCTTTCCTACTTTTTTTTTTTGTAAAAATTATAAATTAGTTTAGAAATAAGTTGTAGTGGTGTAGTGGATCAAGTTGAGTTTGATAGTCTTTTATGAATAGTATTAATAAAAGTTAATTAATTGATTATACTTATTTTGAATTTGATAATTTCAGAGTTAACTTTTTTTCACAGATAAGAGAACAAATTCATCACACTCAAGCTAATAATAAAAAAAACATTATATGATGACACTGAACACAAAATATAAACCAAACACAATAGAAATGTGGCACAATGAGTCAAAACTCACCAAAACCGCTGTTTCTCATTCATATAATTTTCCTTTAGGTCCACAAACAGGTAAATATCATCTTTCTTATCTTGCAGAGTCTTAAAATCAACTAATTACTTATTTTAGTCAGTAATCTCTTTAATCTTTCCGCTTGTTCGTTACATTATGCCGTTGTTCTCTGGTTTGACGTGCGCTAGTTATCCTTACGGGCATATTTTTATTTAATTTAATTATTTATTTATACATATTTTTATTCACATTTCCCATAGGCACCTAATAAATTGAATGTATTTATTTGTAAACTGTAAAGTATTATTTTTATTTATTATGTTATATTTATTTTCATTTACTATTATTTATTTTATTGGGGGTTACAAACGTTTACTATGAAGACATGAAAAAAATGAAAAATAGACACTCAGTGTTGTTAAACATTATTTAATATTTCAACATTAACAAAAATACAAGATTAAGAATGAAAAAAAGAAAAAGAAAGGAATCAACATGAATAATACTAGGCTAGTCCAAAATGTGGGGACTGAACAATGCCTAAAATCATGCTCTCATTAAAGCTTTCATATGAGGTATGCAGTGGAAGCCTCAGAACTAAACCGCATGTGTTTGCCTCTGGATAAATTCGTTGTGATCCATTTACTGGAATGTGTAGAAATTCCAGTGTAGGTTCTGGATCAAATCCCAGAGCTGGAATCCGGTCTGTGCCAGTGGCAAACATTAAAAGATTGTCAAACGTAACTTTGATGTCCGTGTCTTCCACTGTCAGCACAGCATCTCCGCCTGAAATGTAAAAGGGAGGGGGAATTAAGAAATTTAAATATATAAAGTCTGCATTAAATGAAAGCTATGCAGGCCTTTTCTTCTCTTTTGTGATGTATATCTGAGTGAAATGGTTGGTTTGTCTCATTTCGCCTACTTATACCCAGCCCTAAAAGTATGTAATCTTTTTGTGAAGAAAAAGTGCATACTTTTAAGCGTGTAGCAAAACAGTAGAATGGCTTTGGGACATACTGTCATGTCATTAAAATTGTGTATTTTATGGAAGCTATGTCACTTAGTTACGAGCATCTTGTCACCGTATACTGGCCTGTCAATCATATTTCCACAGTTAACGTCCTCCAGATTTAATAAAATTGAACATATAATTTACTATAAAATAACTTAGACAATGCATGATCACATATTCAGGTTGCGCTTGAGTGGTGCGTACACACAGAATTTCAGTATTTAAAAAAAACCTATCTTGGTGAGTATTAACGCAAACATAGTTGGTTATGTATTGTGCAAACATTTGAGGAAAAACATTTGATGTGTAACATTACTGTTGTAAAGGCTCCTTTAAGAGAGAGCTTTTATTCTGATATT